AAACCAGTCGCATTGCAAAGTCGTTCGCGAAATGACCGCCAGGTGGCGCAAAGGGACATTTAGCAAAACGTAAGTGGGGCTAATATCTATTAACAGTAGCCTAAGGATGAAATACTACAAGTTATGGTAATTTCCAAATAAGCCTACAACAAATTGTTGGTCATACAGATAAGATATAATCTTTTAAAACTTTAAAAGGCTAAAGTAGGCCTACACTCTCACAGGCTAAAGACAAAACGTTTTCTCGCTCATGTCAGAAACAGACGTTTGGGTATTTCTCAGTGAGAAAATTCATAGCTGAGCGGTAGAACTTACGGTTCATCATCAAGATGACACGGGTTCAAATCCCGCACAAACATGGTCTGCTGTAAATTTTATATTTATTATTGCAAAGAGATTTGTCTAGCTCTAAAACTCTGTTACACCATACAGTTTTTTTTTTGCTTATATTTATAAAATACAATTATCATGCATTTCCATTTCACACTAAGTAAAAATACAAAAAAACAAAATAGTATCCAACAGAACGACTTTGCATCTGTATAATAATAGGCTACCAATCGTAATTTCAAAAGCAGTTCTGTAAAAAAATAAATTATATATAGCCTATATATATAGGCTATATATATATTATTTTTTTTATTCCAGGCTCTCATGCCACACCCCCGATTTCTCACGCTGAAGTGTCAACCCGGTCGGTCAAATTCCTGAAGGATATAGTTTATCTATAGATACCTGTTGAGCCACTCGTGATCGACTAGTTATTATACCGCAAATTAGTTAAAATATCCCGTAATCTATCTAGAGCGAGCGTGCATGCGAGACAGATATTGTGCTCCAAACCGTGCGCGCGCATGGCAGAGAGGTCTGTTCCCTAACCTAGAGTTTTTAAAAACATTGTTTTAAGTAAAGTGTGATTTGCCAGGGGGGATTGTGATTTCCTTCTGGTCTAAACATCCCTGCTTCTGCTGAATTATTTTAATCCCCACACCCCTCCCTCCACAGCTAATCAATGCTATAGGCTACTTCACCAATATCAAATATATAAAATAGAGATATGCAACAGGCACGTTTAAACGACAAACAATAAAATCAAAACCAGCGTTTCAGTTGTTCATTAGTTCCAGTGGCCTTAATGCATGCACGGCTTTTCAAATTTCACAAAGCGTGTTGAGATTATTTTGAATGAAATATTGAAGTTTATAATTAAGTGTTTTGGCACACCACGCCGAGTGGCCCTATGCATTTTTCTAAAGTCGGGTTTTATTCTGGCATGGTGAGTTAGTGTTCGACAAACGCGGCGGCGCGTTCATTTAGATTAATTTATTTTCTCATTATTACAGCTAAAATAACTTAGTAGGCGACTCCGTAATTTTTTGGTCATACAGATAAGAGTAGAGTAGCTTACATCGTTCAAAACTGTAAACTTGTATTCATATTAGGCTAACGACAAAAACAGTATAGGCTATATCTGTCGTCTCTGTCTTCGGGAACTGCGCGTCACAAAAATGAACCGAAAGCCACTTCAGCTCAGTCACGATAAGAAATCGGCTATGTCTAAAGCCTTTAAATGTCTAAATATTTAGGCTAATAAATGTTATCTGATTATAGGCTAATCCATATGAAAACTAGAGGAACAGAGGATCTACTCAAACATGTAATGTAGCGCTTCCCAATGAGAAAATGACAAGACAAGGGTGAAAATCTCGCTCTAATTAAATGTAGGCTAAATCGCCCTGAATTAAAATGTAAAAACAGATCAAATAATGTATTTGTCGAAATGTTGCGATATTGTTTCATTTAAGTTCATAATTATTCTATACATGTTATTTAATTTAGCAGCATTACCACGAAGCACCGTGTTTCGATATTTATTTGAATAATACAAAATCAAATAAAAACTTAATTCACAAATTGCATGCCTGGTTGTAAGGATCCAAAGATCCCTGTAGAATTTAATATTGAGTTGAACATTTTGTTCATGACAACAAATTAACAAGCGTTTTTTCAGATTATATTTAGTTTTGCTTGGAAAAAGCTGCCCCAAACCAGTTTTATTTCATCAATTATTGAAATAATGAAATATTTAGTAATAAGCTTTTATGACAGAAATATCACTAGGCTACATGTAATTCCATTTAATTCCTTCATTATCAACACTGTCTAGAATAGCGATTTAAGTGTGAATTGCGACTTCTCTTTGTGTTAAGTCAGCCTCAGACTCCGATAGCCTGTGGGGGGTTGGAGGGACATTGCTGAACAAAGGTGTTAATGTTCCTCTTTCATATGGAGAGTGTCGGATAGCCAGCCTGATGAGCAGGCAAAATTATTGTAAGGATAAATCTGTGTCCAAATGTAGGCCCCATATTTTATATAAATTTATAATAGTAGTTTTAGTATATTATACATATTGTAGTTTATTTATTGTAGCCTATTTAAAGTTTTTTTTCACACAAAATTTCAATTGAAGTTATTGTACGGTGAATTCAACAAGGCATGCTGTGTCTTTGAAGCAACAATTAAAGGCTAAATAATTTTTTCGTGATTTGTATGGCTGACACGCAGCGACATATACAGTAGTATTATCAGAGCGAGGGAGACTAAATAAACTTGTTAAAAAGAGATCCAGCGCGAGAGAGGCAAAGAGAAACGCATGTTTTTAATTTAAATATGTTTCTTTGGACAATTTTCGTTTTGTACTGTTTTAATTGTTTAATTTAGCTGTAATTTCTTTGGCAATAGGAATTTAAAATGTCGCAAGAATAAGATTAGCCTAGTGTTTCTTATTTTGCATCGCAAAAGAAATAAACTCTAAACCGATGCAACCCTGTTTTAAATTAAAAAAAAACTGTCCCGACACTTTATTTAAACCTTGAAATGTTCGAACTTGGTTTCAAACATAAGTAATTTTAGTGTTCTTTTACATTACACAATAATTTAGCAGACTAAAGACAAGCTTCTTCTTTTTCATTTTCTGATGCAATCGGCTGACAATCTTCCTTCATCAGTTTTTGTCGTTTGTGCAGCGGCTGCGGTTCTACAGGAATGTAGCAAATTTATGTTGTAATGATAATCAAACAAAACTCTTGACTTTAAATAAGTAAACAGATATAAACAGTTAGCTATTTAAGCATCAAGTTGGGAAAATATAAACGTAGGACAACATCGGTTAACAACATCTATGCTACATTGAGATTCGATCTCGGGTCGCTTGAAGCTCCTCGAAGCTCGTGTCGTTGCGTTGATCACTGAGCTACTGTCTGTACGCTGATAAAGTTGTAAAGCCTCTTTGATGTAGCCTAAATGTTTTTATTGCAATGTTTTATGTTGAAATGTTTTCATTATTTATTCAATTACATTTCAGTAGCCTAATTTCAGTATTGTGATTATGAATTATTTTAACTACATTTCACTTGTTGAATTCTTCTGCTACCAGCTTTCAATCGCTCTGAATCAGCGCGGTGCGGCAGCAGATTACACATTAGAGAGAATAAACCGGAATAAACGAACACTTTTCAGAGTCTATGATTGTAGCGCCTCTTAGCGGTAAAAGGCAGCAAATACACCACACATTTTACCGCCGCGGTGGAACGGCTGATGTGGGCATTGTCATGGCTTGCCTCGACATTTGCGTTTGAATAGCGCGCGTCCTCCGTGGGCGTGTCAGATTAACGCGTAATGAAGTGTAATGAGCTGGGGGAAAAAATACTGACAGCACTCTCTTTTCATACAGATTGCATAAACTGAGAATATTTGTTTTTTATATAAATTACTTCATTTAAGTAGCTAACTGACTGAGTTACAGTTAATCTTAGGTTGCGTTTCAGAATGGACTTCACTGACAGAGAGAACGCAGAACTCGCATCATGTTTGTTTTTCTTTATTTGGTGAAAAGCACAACACTTTGTTTTTATTGTGAGTATCCACAAAAAAAATAGAAACTTAACAGGATCTAATGATGTACAACACTTATATGTAAGATCAAAATTAACCGAGTATTTTGAGTCTCTTTTACACTGATAAGGAAAAAAGCGAGACAATCGCGCCGGCGCGATAGCCGACCCCAGGGGGTTAAATGTTTTATATATTTATAAAATACATTTCTATTTATTACAAATATTTATTAATATATTAAATTATAAAGAATAATTTCATATATTATTAATAAGCAATATTGTACTATTTATTATTAAATATAATTAACTATTATCATGAATTATGATTCATACATATATTTAATTACTAATTAAATTATTAATATATTTATAAAATACATGGCTATTTATTAAATATATTTATAAATTACAAAAAAAACTATGTAATATATTATTAATAATCAATATTGTACTATTTACTATTAAATATAATTAACTATTATCATGAATTATGATTCATACATATATTTAATTACTAATTAAATTATTAATATATTTATAAAATACATGGCTATTTATTAAATATATTTATAAATTACAAAAAAACTATGTAATATATTATTAATAAGCAATATTGTACTATTTACTATTAAATATAATTAACTATTATCATGAATTATGATTCATACATATATTTAATTACTAATTAAATTATTAATATATTTATAAAATACATGGCTATTTATTAAATATATTTATCAATTTAATAAATTACAAAAAAAACGATGTAATATATTATTAATAAGCAATATTGTACTATTTACTATTAAATATAATTAACTATTATCATGAATTATGATTCATAGATACATATATTTAATTACTAATTAAATTATTAATATATTTATAAAATACATTGCTATTTATTAAATATATTTATCAATTTAATAAATTACAAAAAAACGATGTAATATATTATTAATAAGCAATATTGTACTATTTACTATTAAATATAATTGACTATTATCATGAATTATGATTAATGATATTTATAAAGTACATTTCTATTTATTAAATATGTTTATTAATATTTTACTGTGGTTTGGTGTCATTTCTGTCTACCAGGTTTTGAGTTTTTCGAGACGAGCGCTAAGGACAACATCAACGTGAAGCAGACGTTTGAGCGTCTGGTGGACATAATCTGCGACAAGATGTCAGAGAGTATAGAGACTGACCCCGCCGTGACCTCAGGAGCCCAGGGCACGGCCCGGCTAACGGATAACCCTCCTCCACTACAGCAGCCTAACTGTGCCTGTTAGTGCTCAGTACACATGGTAGCATAAGTGTGTGTGTGTGTGTGTGTGTGTGTGTGGGAGACACCTTTAGATGGATGCATATATCCTTTAATGTCATAGAATGCGGGTGCTGGAAGAGCCACCTGAATCTGATTGGTGCATGTCAGGAGTCATGTGACCCTTTACACCCAATGGGAACAGAGCTGTCTCAAGCAATGGCAAAGCTTTTCAGTGTTTTAGAAAGGAGGATAGATAAAAAAAAAAATATGAATATGATTTCTTTGGTCATCGGTTTTTCAGTATACGTGGCTTGTGGGTAACAGTGTAAGTTCTTGTCACGGTCTGTTGCGCCACTAGAGGGCGTTCTTCTTAAAATGATACGATGCAGTCTGTCTGATGCATGTGAACGTTGTGTATGAACGCTTGTGTGTGTTCCAGCACCTTTGCACTAGAGTCACGTCTATCTTTAAGGTGCCTAGTTCATTCTGACACACTGCTTACATCCTTTACAGCTGTTAGTCTAGACCTCGTCCACAAGCATGAATCGGCTGTTGAGGACTCTTCGCTAAGCTCCGCCCCTCTTTTTAACTTTTTTTTTTTTTGTCAGATATTTAGACAATTATGAAGACATTGTAATTAGGGATGCACCGATATGAACATTTTGGCCGATATCGATAACCAATATATATTGGCCGATAAATCTAAATCCAAATTTTTAAGTGTCACCGGCCCACCGGTGGGCCCAAATCCATTACATCCTATACTAAACCTAAACTAATCTTGACAAACTATATATCATTTGAAAGCTTACAATCTCTAGGTGATTGATTTTCAAAATAAATTACAGAGGAGCCGTAATTTATCAATTTTCAACTAGAATATTTTCATACTCCTAAGGCGTGTTTAGACCTTTATTTTGAAATAGTGATGAACATGAAAAATCATGAAAGAAGGGTAGAAACCTCAGTTTTGTTTTCATGCCAAGAGTTCAAAAGATAGCATCCATTCAATTATTTTAGAAAAAAAGGTCTGAAGTTTTTTTTAAATATAAAGACAAAAATGATAGATTCACCATTTGTTTCAGTAAGATTAACAAAATCTTATTGAAAGCTAATTTTTTGAGATATCAACCTAAAATTTGAAACACAACTTGTTCAGATTTTTGGCTTTGATTTTTTTTTGCAGTTTTAGAGTATAAACATATATTTATGAATAATTACATTTTTTACATTGTACATTTTCATAAACTCAAACTTCTGTAACTTTTTTTCTGTTTCACTTTCTTAATTTATTTCACTTCTTCAAAAATCTGCTAAATGTCTTCTTTAAGACGAGACCAATCTTACGTCTATATTCCAAAGCATTCTTGAATTACAACCATTTAAGTTCGAAATGTGCATTTTCATGTATATTAAAAAAAAAGGGACAGTTAACAGGTTAAAGTCTGATTACAAAAACAAAAGTCTCACCATTTAAAAGCCATTCTCATTACAATTATATGCAGCCTTAATGACAGACTAGGGTTTCGCTGTATATCGGCACTGGGAAAATACCAGTATATATCTGATTTGAAGCGGAACGATATCGTGATTTGCTCATTTCGGTGCTCGATACGCTGTTTGCGGTTCTGAGTTTCACCGCTAGGTGGCAGTGTGCTCCCAAACTCACTAGAAACCAGCAAATATGACAACATAGAAGAACACAATATATAAAGCAGTTAAATCTCACTCAACACTCGCAAAACTAATCAATAAAGAGGACAGTAGAAGTGAAATTTAAAATTACTTTGCTGATGAAGAGCCATCAAACCTTGCTAAGCATCTGCCACTTGCCACTGACATGTAAGTTAAATTAAGAGATCGAGAGGTGAGTGCATCATTCAAGACATTTATTTTCTTTTAACACTAATCAACGCACATACGATCGTATAGTTTAAATAACACAAAAGCTCAGGCGTGCATTTGACACTTTTGATCTCATCATATTTGCACTTGTTTAGGTAGGTAGCATTTAAAAAAGTAATCAAATGTTAAATAACACTGGATAGTCTTCACTGTTAATACATTAAACAGGTAAATCCTTACAATTAAAGTTATTAAGCTGCTGTCAAAGATCCGGATGTTACACGTGCGTTTTCTTTCTCAACTATTTACATTCACGTAAGACATAAGCAACTGTCTTCATGTGAATACTCACCAGGACGCGCGCTCTTAACATGCGCTGTTAGTATGCACACAGAAAACAGTCTCTCAACGAGCTCAGTGCTACTGAATGACATAAAATCACTTGCAATGTTCAAATCAGCAAGCTTTAAAAAGACGTGGGCAAGTGATTCCCGTGTTGTGTTGTATCGCAGCGCTTATAGTGCAGGCGTGATGTCTTTTAAATCCAGAAGCGAGATGAAGAGGCGAGACACAGTTTTACTGAAATCACTTCTCAAGAAAGTTTTCAAATGACTGATTTGATGTGATAATCCGTGTTGATTCATTTCGCTAATAAACATTTGCGGTAATTTCCCGCTTCATAAGTGCGAACCCTGCAAGAATGAGTCACATTATGCGCAATACCTGCGCCAAAATTCATATACTGTATTTTCAGTGTGATTTCAATCATATTTCAAGAAATTCAAAACCATCATGTTGAACAAGTGCGCTTCTGAAGAGTCTCAGCTGAAGGAAATAAAACATCATTTATCGGCTTTAATATATCGGTCGAATTTTCTTATCGGGCCGATAACGATAACATTACAATCTAACATATATCGGCGATACTGATGTGGTGGCTGATATATCGTGCATCCCTAATTGTAATTATCAACATTATGTAAAGCTGATTTGAAACAATGTGTATCGTGAAGAGCGTTATACAAATATGTGATGAGTTGATTCTAAATTTACACATTTTAAATGTTAAAAAATGTAAATATAATTACATCACCACACAGGACTTCCTTGCTGTGGTGGGATTGGTCAGAATTCTTTTTAAAGGCGGGGCTTAGCAGATGGTCAGGCGCTGCATTACACACACACACACACTCGACTCCTTGTTTTTGTAGATCAGGAATTCATGCCATATTAATCGAGTTGAAATTTCCCATCTAGCAGCGGCTGTGATATCAGCTGTGTGTGTGTGTGTGTGTATGTGTACACTATAGATTATTAAAGAATAGTAAAGTCACCTCTATGAATACATGATATATCTAGTGTACATAGGTTTGTATATACCTCAGTCAGATAAATATAATGTTGTGGATTCAAGTAGCTTTTCACTACAGGGAAAAAGATGTGCATTAAATGTTTCTACGCGTTTCCTTTGATCATTGTAAATGAATTCACTCTGACTTGATGAAATGAGATATTTATTTATCTATTTATTCAAAGAAAAAGAAAAGTAAATGATTTGCTTCATGAGCGGCGTGTGTCTGAAAACGAAACGTAGATGAAGTGGAGTTTGTGTTTTCCCCCCAAGCCCTTTTTCCAGCATTTCTCCTGCTTTATCGCTGCCGTCGCTGTTCCGGCTCGGTCTCTGCTGGCACGCGGAGGACGTGATTGGCTGGTTTCTTATCTAGTTTTCTGCTCACGGCCGGAGAGGATTCAGGGATATTAGACGTTATAAGGAATCTGAGCTCGTCTGTAAAATGATGCAGTGATAGCCAAGGAAATGTGCAGCTATTTTCAGAAGTGCATCAATATTTCATCCCACGAACCTTACATGACTTTGGCTGTGGACGCATATTTTTAAATGTCAGAAATATAACAAGCCTCTGTGTTGCGGAGGAAGAGCAGATCTAGGGCGAACTCTCGGAATCTGGCAATACCTGGATCATATTTCAGCTCAAAATCAAATGTATTCTTTGCATAAAAAACATTTTCACATTTTTTTTACAGTACTATCAGTCTATCTATCTATCTATCTATCTATCTATCTATCTATCTATCTATCTATCTATCTATCTATCTATCTATCTATCTATCTATCTATCTATCTATCTATCTATCTATCTATTTCTATCCACCCACCCATCCATCTCTTTCTATCTATCCATCCATTTCTATCCATCCATCCATCCATCCATCCATCCATCCATCCATCCATCCATCCATCCATTCCTATCTATCCATCCATCTCTTTCTATCTATCCATCCATTTCTATCCATCCATCCATCCATCCATCCATCCATCCATCCATTCCTATCTATCCATCCATCTCTTTCTATCTATCCATCCATCCATTTCTATCTTTCCATCCATTTCTTTCTATCTATCCATCCATTTCTATCCATCCATCCATCTCTTTCTATCTATCTATCTATCTATCTATCTATCTATCTATCTATCTATCTATCTATCTATCTATCTATCTATCTATCTATCTAAAAAAAAACTATTTGTCCTAAAAATAGGCGTCATTCTCTTTATATAAAATATCATTCTAATCACTCACTCCATTTTATTTCATTCTGGGCTGAAATATGACGTGGACATGTTCCTGAGGGGTTTCATGCGATTCATCTTCTAGATGGTTTTATTGGTTTCTCATCCCTAGAGATTGTCCAACTTCCATTGTGATGTATAATAATAATCTAGGTAGAATTAAGGTAAAACTGAAAACACATAGCCCTTAAACGATAAAAGTACATGGTGTGGTCTGTTTATATGTGTGGTCTTGTGAGTGTAGTACATATAAAACATTAGGCCGACCATATCCGGCATTATTGAAAATATATCATGGTCACAGATGTACTGTAGGCTGAATATGCCGGTACGTATATTACTAAATAGTTAATTGATGTGTCCTCAGAATATAGAAAATCAGTACTTCGTTTCCCCACCACAAGCCACGTTTAGCATCGTCCCTGCATGAAACTGTACAACATCTCTATTTAGATACCTGTATCTCTATAATCTTATTTATTTGTTCATTTATGCGTCCCTCAGTATGTGGGGCGCAGTGGGCCAGCAAGTGCAATATTTCGAATCCCTATCTCTTGTATATAGTTGAATGACTGTGTGTGTGTGTGTGTGTGTGTGTGTGGAGCGTCTCGATGTGCCATGCTGATTTTGCACACTATCTTATCCCTCGTGTGGATGATCGCTCTGCCTCACCTTCTGTGTTAAACTATCTTTGTGCTGACATTAACACAAAAATACTGTGGAGTTACATATAGGTGTGCGAGTGTGTGTGTGTGTGTGTCGGTGTATATACTAGTATGGAGAAAAGTAAACGTGTATCTTGTTGCAAGTCATCTCTGTGGTTTTTCTTTGTGTTTGTGTGTAAATCTCATTCAGTTAGAGCATGCATAGGGCTATATTTCTGCAATCACTCTTCTGCAAAAGAGTATTCAGTAGTTTTATAATCGCTGCATTTCAGGTGTACAGCATGCATAAAAACTGCTTTTTAAAAACAAGCTAAAAAAAAGGAGTG